TTTACAGTGTATTCTGCGTGTGGTGTTCAAAAAACATCGTTTTTTACAGGGTTTCGGGCCCCTCGGCGGCGCAGAATTGCACCTTGGCGATGTTAAAAACGGTGGGTTTTTCCATAGTTTTTGCTTTGAGGGGCGGAAAAAATTGTAAAAAGTTGTCTCTGAAGATGTTTCCAACATAAACGGCCCAACATCTGACCAACATAGGCCCAAGATCGCCCACCTATCCTCCAGCTCTGCCCAACATAGCCTCCAAGCTGGCCCAACATAGGGCCAACATAGGGAAACCTAGGCCCAACAGAGGCCAACATAGGCCCAACATAGGCGCAACCTAGGCCCAACAGAGGCCAACATAGGCCCAACATAGGCGCAACCTCGGCCAACATAGGCCAACATAGGCCAACATAGGCCCAAGATGGCCCAACATAGGGCCACCGTGGGCCCAACAAAGACCCAAGCTGGGCCCAAGATGGGCCCAACATAGCCCAACATGGGCCCAACATGGGCCCAAGATGGCTCAACATGGCCCGACTTGGCACAACATAAGCCCACGATGGGCTCATGATGGCTTGACATGGCATGACATAAGCCTACGCTGGGCGCAAGATGGCTCAGCCTGGGCCCGACGACAACGACGACGACGACAACCACAACAACAACCACAACAACAACAACAACAACAACAACAACAACAGCCTAGGGCCAAGACCGGGGCAAACCTGCGCCCGAATAGGGCCAACATCGGCCAACAACAGCGACAACAACAACAACAACAACAACAACAACAACAACAATATCGGTCAACAACGACAACGACAACAACACCAACACCAACACCAACAACAACAACAACAACAACAACAACACAACAACAACAACAACAACAACAACAACAACAACAACAACAACAACAGCAAGAAGAACAAAACCAACCACAACACCAACCACCACAACAACAACAACCACAACAAACACAACCACAGCAGCAGCAACAACAACTACCACAACAACAACAACGACAACAACAACAACAAGAAGAAGAAGAACAATAACACGAAGAACAACAACTACCACAACACCACCAATAACAACAACAACAACAACGACAACAACAACAAGAACAACAACAACAACAACAGCAGCAACAACGACGGCAACGACACCAACAAGAACAACAACAACCACGACGACAACATCGACGACGACGCCGAGGACGCCGAGGACGACCACAACAACAACGACAACAACAAGGACAACACCACCAACAACAACAACAACAACAGCAACAACAACAACAACAGCAACAACGACAGCAACAACGACGACAACGACACCAACAAGAACAACAACAACCACGACGACAACATCGACGACGACGCCGAGGACGCCGAGGACGACGACCAGGACGACGACGACGACGACGCCGACGACGACGACGACGACGACGTCGACGACGACGACGACGACGCCGACGACGACGCCGACGACGACGACGACGACGGCGCTGACGACGACGCCGCCGATGCCGACGCCGACGACGACGCCGACGACGACGACGCGGACGACGACGACGACGACGACGACGAGACGTCTCGAGGTCTGTGGCTGCGTCTGTCAGTGCGACGGCTCACCCGACTATGGCTGCGTTGCGCTAGCCAGGGCAGTCAGCCCCCTCCACTGGGGAGGATGCTACCGGGATGCCCCAAGTCCCGGTCCCCGTCTTGCACAGGGAGGGGTTGTTCGGGCCCCCACCGACTCAGCTAGATCTCGTGGTAGACCTGGCGTGGTGTGAGGTGCGCACGGTGGCGGTCATTTGCGCTGCGTGCGACATGGTTGTGAGATGACACACTGCGCGCTTCTGTTTTCTGCTTGCGACGGACAACGTCTCTGAGGTGATGGTTGCCGCTGTGCGGGCCTGAGCGCTGCTCTGGCCACTGCTTTGCACTGTACGCTGGCTATGTTAGTCATAACCAAGTTGAGTAATTTGTTTTGCTACTTGTATAGTAGCCATATTCAGTCAGCAACCATTTTTTGGCAGGGCTCCGGGGATCTAGGATTGGCCGTGAAACTTCGGATTTTAACCCACGAGAATAGGGAGATACCCTAGAAACATCAAGAAACAATGGTGAACTGGTTCAGGCATGGTTCCATGTTACAATGGGTATAGTTCAATGAATGAAAGCGACAGGAGGAGGAAGCCGGTGATCTCCCCTGGCTGTCTACCAACTTTTCCGGCTAGTTCTCTGACACGTTGGAAGCAAGCTGTCCATGGTGGTGGTGGATTTACAAACGTTTCGTTTCATTTCGTCCTGCAGCACCCGAAAGAATCACAACAGAACAAGGTACGAAAACACATGCAACTTGAGGGAAAATATAACATTTGTTGCGGTCTTCTGCGGTCTGTTTCAACTGGGCTACGAAAACGGTTTTCTTCTCATGTGACCTGGCTTGAGGTTGTAGTGGATTCTGCCATCGGTGGCTGACAAAATGGTTGCTCTCCGTCATTTGGACGATTTTGAACTGGCTTGGGATGGTAGTGGATTCTGCAACTGGTGGCGGAAAAAATGGTTCCTGGGTCTCATCTCGGCCCCGTATGGGGGGAGATGATTAACTGGGCTGAAATAATGGTTCCTCTTTGTCGTTGGTTGCGGCGGTAAGGATTGCATATTGTGGGCAGGACTGGCTTCTCGGATGGTAGTGGATGCAGCAACCGGTGGCTGAAAAAATGGTTCCTGTCTGCCCGGTGGCTTCGCGGGACTTTGGAAGGGCAGGTTCTTAACTGGCTTCGGAGTGTCGTGGATTCTGTAAAAGGTGGCAGCAAAAATGGTTCCTCTCTGCCAGTTCTCCGTGGGACGACGCCGGGGAAGATTATTAACTGGCTTGGGGTGGTGGCTGATCGCTGTCATTTGGAAACTTAGCTCGTCTCATGTTGGGCTATGGAAGAAATGTCATATGGCGTTGGCTGGCGTCGGACAATGGTTCCTCTTTGTCGTTGGTTGCGGCGGTACGGAGTGCATGTTGTGGGCAGGACTGGCTTCTCGGATGGTAGTGGATGCAGCAACCGGTGGCTGAAAAAATGGTTCCTCTCTGCCCGGTGGCTTCGCGGGACTTTGGAAGGGCAGGTTCTTAACTGGCTTCGGAGTGTCGTGGATTCTGTAAAAGGTGGCAGCAAAAATGGTTCCTCTCTGCCAGTTCTCCGTGGGACTACGCCGGGGAAGATTATTAACTGGCTTGGGGTGGTGGCTGATCGCTGTCATTTGGAAACTTAGCTCGTCTCATGTTGGGCTATGGAAGAAATGTCATATGGCGTTGGCTGGCGTCGGACAATGGTTCCTCTTTGTCGTTGGTTGCGGCGGTACGGAGTGCATGTTGTGGGCAGGACTGGCTTCTCGGATGGTAGTGGATGCAGCAACCGGTGGCTGAAAAAATGGTTCCTCTCTGCCCGGTGGCTTCGCGGGACTTTGGAAGGGCAGGTTCTTAACTGGCTTCGGAGTGTCGTGGATTCTGTAAAAGGTGGCAGCAAAAATGGTTCCTCTCTGCCAGTTCTCCGTGGGACTACGCCGGGGAAGATTATTAACTGGCTTGGGGTGGTGGCTGATCGCTGTCATTTGGAAACTTAGCTCGTCTCATGTTGGGCTATGGAAGAAATGTCATATGGCGTTGGCTGGCGTCGGACAATGGTTCCTCTTTGTCGTTGGTTGCGGCGGTACGGAGTGCATGTTGTGGGCAGGACTGGCTTCTCGGATGGTAGTGGATGCAGCAACCGGTGGCTGAAAAAATGGTTCCTCTCTGCCCGGTGGCTTTGCGGGACTTTGGAAGGGCAGGTTCTTAACTGGCTTCGGAGTGTCGTGGATTCTGTAAAAGGTGGCAGCAAAAATGGTTCCTCTCTGCCAGTTCTCCGTGGGACTACGCCGGGGAAGATTATTAACTGGCTTGGGGTGGTGGCTGATCGCTGTCATTTGGAAACTTAGCTCGTCTCATGTTGGGCTATGGAAGAAATGTCATACGGCGTTGGCTGGCGTCGGATGCATGGGCGACTAACTTCTGCGACGCCTTTTCTTTGGGACCCCAGTCAGGCTGTTCCCGCGGCACGCCGCGCACGTCCATGTTGGCATGACCTGCGCATGGTATTCACTGTGCGTCCTTGGCCGTGGGCGACCGCAACTCTCACAGGGCGGATATGCACACGCTAAACACAATGCACCATCTTCAGCTTTTGGACGAAGCACTTCCCCGCACTTGGGACAAGACTTTACCGTGCAGGCTTCGCAGGTCCAGTGCGGCATGACTTGGACATGGTAACCACTTTTTTGCGGGCGTTGCAGACCGCATATTGGACACGGCGGGTAACCATGGCTCACACTGCATGCTCGACACAACCAAAGCGGCTTGTGCTGAGCGTGGTATCTCCTTTCATGTGGACGGGGCTCGCCGCAACCTCCACTGCATGGTGGATATGCACATGTGGCACACCATATGCCTGCCTCTGCGTTACGCGGCAAGGAGCTGCCACAGTTCACACATTTTCCCTTGCAGTTTTGGCAATACCAGTCGGCTTTCTGCTTGGCATGGTTGGCTGCCTTTTGGGGGCGTGGCTGCCCACAACCTCCACTGCAAGGGGGAAAGGCGCAGGTAGTGCACCAAGTGCCTGGAGTTGCATTTGCATGCAAGGGTTGAGCACACTTTGCGCAGGTCTTGGGTGCCCGCTCTTGCTTAGCTACGCAGCTGCGGCACACGCCGGTCTGGGATGCTGCACTGTAATTCACCAGGTGGGACACACTGACGGCTTTGTTGCAATTGCTGCACAAACCCTGTTTTGCCTTTGCTGTCACTGGGGCGACAGCACACTTCTTGCAACGTGCTCTTCGGAGTTCTTTGGTTTTTTTCTTCGTGCGATTTCCTCCGGGCTAAAATCTAGCAGGCTTTTTGTTTTGATTTTCTTGCCGATATCACACTTGCTGCAGGCGAAGGGAATTTTGGCACACTTCGAACAGTAGCCGGTCTGGTCGGCTGGCAAGGTCTGGCAATATGCGCAGGCATTCACTGCCTTGGGCTTCCCCTTGGCTGCAGGGCTGCTCTGCTTCGTTTTACACTGGGTGCATAAGCGACACATGCCTTCTGACAAGACTCGGAACCATTCCTCTTGGTCCCAGGCCGAAACAAATTCTCGAAGTGGCAAAAGTTTTTCCTCTAGGTGCGGTTGTGCGCTACAACCGCGGCAAAACAGCATAATGTCACGATTCCTTTCCTTGTTTGGCTTGTCTTTCTCGAATCGAATTTTTGCCTGCGCCAGTGTCAGCTTTTCACGATGCACCTCTAAGAATGTGTGGGGTCCAATTAACTCTCCATGACTAAACAAGTTGGGGGAAAAAGGTTGGACTATGCACAAATCTTCGCTTTTTCGGACTCTTGATAGGCACATGTACCCGCTGAGTTGTGCCTCGCGGGAGGTCGTGGCATCCCATGTGCCAAGGTCCAATGTGCATGCACCGAGGGTTGCCCCCATAAACGAATGCGCCGTGCCAGCGTAATCGGAGGCTATTGGAAAGCCACGTCGAGAGACTGTAGCTTTGCCGTTCGTTTCCAGCGTCCACGTCTGGGTGACGGGTTCAATCCGAACGACGCCAACCGGCAGGTCTGGGTGTTGTTGCCAGTTTGCCCCGGCCACTCTGACATACAATGCCAGTGGAAGACGTTGTAGCACGATGTCTCGGCCTTCTGCGGTTTCGACGGCGTCTTTGTCGACATCGTGCAGTGTCCAATTCCAAAGGATGCCCCGGGTGTTTTTGAAGAGCCCGAACGCTTTCAGATCAGACAGGGTTTGCATGACTCGGATTGGCATGTTGTGGAGAAGGGGTAAGATTCCGACGACTCCGCCGGTGGACTGGTCATGGCGCTGCAACCAATTTTCGCGCCGGGCCTGTAATTCCGTCGCCTCCACATGAAAAAGCGGGGTTTCTTGAGCAATTTTCCAAAGCAACTTGTGCTTGCGAGTGCTTGCGACCCATTTGGCACGCAGGTTGGCTGCAATGTACTTGGCGGCATTCAGCCCATGCACGAAAGGATGGTTGAGGAAGTGCTCGGCCTTTGGGTCTTTGCCTACGATGCATCGCCGTGCCCTTTCTTGGTGGCAAATGACACATTCCAACTGGTCGGGGGCGGTGGCTTGCAGATGTAGGTTGTTGCAAGTTTTTTCGCCGCAGGTGGCTTGATTGGTTTGGAAGGACCACGAGCCGGCATGGAGTGTTGGAAACCCGTGTAAGAAAGACCACACTTCCTGCGACATGTTTCCATGCCTCGCCTGGTGAAGAATTTGGCTGAGCCAGGCGTCCTCGCACCGCTGTTCGAGGGTGAGTTCAAACAGGTGTGGGATGGCGAGCGAGGTGTGCGACCAACATATTTGCTGCAGTGCGTTGACTTGGAAGCTTGCGTTTGACTGGAAAGGGTTCTGGTAGATGGCTGTGGCTTTGACTGGCGGGAACTGCCATAAATCCCCGGTCAAGATGAGGTTGCGCCCTCCGAATGGCCTCCGTTCTCCCCCTGGCCGAAGTTTCCACGTATCCCGATCTCTGGTAGACTGCTGCAGGCGTTTCTCCAGAGTGGCCAATATTTCGAGCCCGACCGTCGAAGATTCATCCACCACCAGCCACCGTAGGCGTTGGTACTTAGCGAACTGTTCCGGTGTGCTGGTGTTTTTTGCTCGGGCCGTTTTGGTTTTCACCTGGATATTGGCAAACGAGTGTAGCGTCATGCCAGCAATCAGTGCAGCCTGGGTGTTCTGCGGTGCCAAGTATACAAACTCTTGTTGATGCTGCCACCCACACAAATCTTCGAAAAAAGCACGCAACCACTTGAGGGTTTGGGTTTTGCCTGCACCTGGAACCCCGTGGAAGACTGCACGCAAAGGCTCGCTGCGGGAACTTTCGGCCTGTTCTTCTTGAGCCTCTGTGAGGCAGCGGTCGACGACAGCACGCAGGAATTTCAGTTGTTCGACTGTGGGTTTACATGCTGACCGCGTCTCCGCATTTGCTGCGCGCGGTTCTGCACTGGCTGAGCGCTGCTCTGCACTGCCTGCGGCTGAATCGACTGCCACCGAGCCCTGCTCTGCGAGACGCTGCAGCCATGCTGTGGCAGACTCTGGCGTCAACCTGCCGTAGGTCCAGCTCAAGGGTTCAGTCTCTGGCAACGGCGTCGGTTGCTGCCGCTTCCTTTGACTATGATCAAGCTTTGTGTCAGGTATTCCACTGTTTACGAACCAAGAGTTTATTGCATCAACCTGCGGAGTAGCTTCCCATTCCTCAACTATGCGGCGTACCGCTGGACCTGACCGTTTCGAATATTCGAAGCCCACACCTCGGACAAGTTTATCGATGGTGTCAGAAGTTACCCAGGTCGTGTCCACTTCATGGTCTGTTGGCTGGGCTGGTGTTTCGGCCAGGTCGACTTCTTCTGGATCACACTCTGTTGCGGAGAGAAAGTTTCGAATAGTGCGAGCTGCATGTTCAGACACAACGTGCTGCTGGATATATGCTCTCCATGCTAAATGGTGACTTCTTGGACCAGGTGCTGTCTTGGTCCGCAAGCGTGTACTGGGGTTGAGACTATTACTTCTTATCTCTAAGTCTAAGGCACTGATATGCGGGACATGCGGGGTAGCACTTTTCAGATCAAGTGTCCAGGGCCTCAGATAGACATTGAGGAGCCTCGCCTGTGCATCCTTTGACATGTCGGGCTTCGGCAACGGACAGGTCGTCGGATATGGAATCAGTGGTTCGGTCCGTCTTTCCAGATAATATTCCTGCACTCGACTGCATCCATGGCACTGCGGTAGCCGGACCAGGTTGGCGGCTCGGCTATTTGGCAAGGGATGTTTCCAAATGTAATCACGGCCATATTGCCAGCCATCCACAGGTTTTCGGTCTGTGCCTTGCTTACTCACCCAAACACTGAGCCCTTGTCCGTCTTCAGTTGCATTTTTGGTGGGCGGCTGCAATTTTTTTAGGGTCCACCATTTCATAAACTCCCACGGACACAAGTGAAACACTCGCTCGTCGGTCCCTCGCCAGCCATAAATTTCCGATGTCTTAATGGTGGTTTTATAGGGGCTTGGGGGTTCTATTTTGTGCCGCACTTCTGTTACGGAGTCTAAGATACTGAGCCAGTCCATGCCTATAAACGGGACTACGGGGAAAGTGCGGATGCATTCGGCCGCGGTGGGGTCCGCCATGTTGCCAAAGCCTGCGAGCATGAATTCCTCGGTCACCGGGCGCACAGAGCAACGAAATTCGAGGTCCCCAAAGACTCGGTGCACAACTTTGCGGTAGTGTGCTGCAGCGTCATCTTTTGCAGCTGCTTCTTCGAGGAAATGCAATTGCTTGGCTGCTTGTTGTAATTCCTTTTTGCCTAACGGCTGCGGCTTCTGCAAGTAGCCGGTGAAGTATCTGGTGGATCGGCGGGCTGCTTGTGCCATTGCCCGTTGGAGTTTTGGGAGCATGTTTTGGGCCAAGCAGCCGCGCTTGCAGTCTTCGTCGTGGGTGTTTGCCGCCAGAGGCACTCGGAAATTTATTGCAGTGTGTGAATTACCAAATAACATGAGGGGGAATGCGTGCATTGTGCCTGATAGCCACGGATCGTCTCTTTTGTCTAAGACCATGCCTAATGCATTTCGCCGCCCGGCAGTGCTCTGGGCAAATTTTCGTGCGTTCCCTCGACATATCACTCGAACTTTATCGTTCTGCACTTTTGGGAAACTGTGCTTACACTTGTTTGGCGCCCCCTTCTTTCGGCAAGCGGCAATAGGCAACCGACATTTTTGCACGATGTTCCACGGATGCCAGTGGATTTGCTGGTGGCTGATCTTGTTCTGGGCTGCGAGACGATATTGGTGGATGAAACGACTTGCGTCGGCTAATGCCTGCTTCGGTTCCACTGCTTTCACCCAGGGGCTGGCCGCTTTGTCTTCGGTCAGGAATTCTGGCCATTGACATAAGAAATCGTGGCTTGCTTTGCAGTTGTTCTGGGCCCAGTCTGCTTCGAGGTGGTCTTGTTTTTGCGTATGGCTTGCTGGGTCGGGGTGGGATTCGGCGTGTGCCCATGTCAAGAATTGGCGCACGTCCTCGAATGTGATGGTGCTGTCATTCAGCTTAGCTGCAAATTCACTTAAAGAATGTTGCCAAATGGAAGCGATGTACACGTTGCAGTGGAAATGCGGTGTCGAATTAGCTTGATATTCGATTGCCCCGCATAGGCCGGTGACAAGGCCAAGGATGCCCCCCGTCACGTGACACCCGTGTCCGCGTGCATCGCGGCAATCGCAAGCAGGGCAACGGAAGCACATACGAATGCCGAGCAATTTGGCGAAGATGCATCGCACCACTGTTTGGAAACTAAGCACGACGGCCCAAGGATCCCTCGCAGCGAGCTGTCTGCGGGTGTCGTAAGGTGGCACTTCGATGGTCGCCTCTGCGGTGTCCCATAGCTGGGGGCGATTGCGTGCTCCTTCTTCAGCTCCGCCCGGATCGGCGGCACGATAGCGGCTGAATTTGATGCAGAGGGTGTTATGACGGGTTGTTGGAGATATGGTGATGAAGAGAGGTTCTCCCATCTCAACCCTGGCCCCGAAGAGGAAACGTCCAATGCGACGTCGGACTTCAATTGTTCCAGGCATATGGCCTTGCATGCCTTTCACGTCCTGGAGCAACTCTTTTTCATCTGTTGTGAGGCCTCGGGCGTAGGGCAATTTCCGTGTATCGAACTGGATGGGTTTCGGCTTTCCACTTGCTGTGGTGTACGTGCCGGATCTGAGTTTGTTGTAGAGGCCGCGCGCCGCTTGCACCCACTTGAGCGTTGGCACCGGTGCAATGGCTTGCCGCTGTGACTTCCATTTCCGCCAAAGCGAGCCTTGCCACACGGAATGCCATTTGAAAGTCAATCGTCTCAGCCCGGGAATCAGGTCCCATGAGTTGCGAATTGAACTCTCAATGCGGCCGGCTAGGAGTTTCAAGTGTGCCAAGGGCGGCAACTGCGGCGCATCGGCGGGCCTTCGTGGTCGCTCTTTATGGGGGAAGTCCGGACCACTGACGGGTGCGGGGATGCTGAAGGGAAAAGCCCATGGAAGAAAATCATTTTGCCACTGGTCCCAGAAGTTGTGCCCGGTTTGAATGGTGAGTGTGTCAGTCGCATTGCCTAATTGCAACAACATGTCGACGTCGGGGTCTTTCCACTCTGCACCCGTATAATCTTGTGACAATACATTGGGTCTCACACTGCCTACGAAGGACTCGCCATCCAAAGCTGTGTCTGGGACTGACTCGGGCGTTGCATGCTTCTGCGGCAGCGGCTGGCTTACGTCTCCACTGGCACCAAAGAAATTCCTAGCATGGCTCGGACGAGTTGCTGTGGCCTTTTCATCGCTCTTGTCTGCTGTGGTTGCCTGAGCGCTGCTCTGGCTTCTCACCTGCCGCGATGGGTTGTCGTCCGGCGAGGCATCCCGCTCATGCTTTGCATGCACTAATGGTAACTTGCTGTGGCTAGGTGTTGACACTGTAACTTGTTGCTCCTGTGACGAGGCCGAGTCTGCTATGACTTCGGCTGTCACCTGAGGGCTGTCACCTGAGGGCTGCCTTGATCTTTTCGCTCTGCTACCATCTGGCGCGTTCGGTGGGTTGGCATATCGTGCATGGTTGCGTTGTCATCGCTGTGGCTTGTATGCTGTGGAAACGTTTTGCTGTACACATAGGCTGTCTCTTCGGATTGCAGCTGGGACACGATCTTTGGGGATGCAGTTTTCACACGAGAAGGCTTGAAATGTTGCACCTCAGACGCTGGCTGAGACGAGCTCTGGCCGCTCATCGTTGGAGAGTCAGTCTCGTTATTTGAAATGGTTGGTTCTGAATTCACATTCGCTGCTGCCTGAGCGCTGCTCTGGCGTCGCGTGCAGGGGTATGCGCCTTTTGATGGCACAGTAGGTGAAGGAGGTTGCTGCCAGTCGACTATGGGCCTTGTTTCTTCCACCCCATAGATCAAAGTCACACGCTGCGTCACTGCTGTTTTTGCCTCCTCTGCCGACAAATGCGAGGTACACATTGGATGTTGCATGTCGATGAGGTGATGCAAGAGTGCACTGACGACCCATGGTCGGATGCGTGCCCCTGCTACCCACTCGATGGCCTCATTGTATAAAATACCCTTCACATTAACTTTTACAATAGCTTGGAGGACATGTGGCGGGTGAGGCAACTTTTCCCAAGAGGCGTTCTGCCGAGTCTCGGGGGCCAGTGCAGCAAGTACCTCTTCCCATGGAATGCTAAAGGAAGACACATTGCCTCGGATTGCTGTCCTGTGTTCGGGCCGATGTAAGTGTTCTTCGATCAAGTTGCCTCGGTCGGCCTCGAGGTAGTAATTGATAACGGAAGTCCAGACAGGCGAGGCAGCCGCTGCTTCTATCCACCGCACTTGGTGGGTGTACAGCAACTCTGTTGGATATTCAAACCTATTGTCGTTTGCAAGGGCCTCTGGCACTGCACAGGTGTTCTGTTTAGACATGTGTTCCAGGCAATTGCGACACAATGGCAGTTCGCAAGCCTCGCACAGTTGCAGTGCACTTTCGGTGCAGCGCCCA